TCCGCCCCCGGAAAAGGACCTGCGGCTGCACTGGCCGCGCCCAGGCGGGGGCGCTGGGCTGCAGGTCTGGCCGTTCCTGCGGGCATCACACGCATTCCCGGGGCAGTCTTTTTACTTAAACCTCGCCCTGCGGCCCATGTCGGCCACTTCCACTCACGCGCGGGCCCAGGAGACTGTCACTTCCTCCACACCTGCCCACCACCCCACGAAATTCCCCAGTTCTTCTGCCTTCAAAAGCCACCGTCCTCCGGTGAACAATTAGCTTATCCAGCGGCCACTTAGGGCCCAAAAATTCTCCCTCTTTTCCATTCTGCAAAAGTGTGGAGGGGGACGGGGGGGGGCCGGGTTGGAAGAGCCCAAGATCTCAGAAACGCTTCTGCAAAGACCTGGATCTGGAGTAGGGCAAGGAAGAGGCTGCAGGTCTTAGAAAAGGCAATTATTGTGCGGACGCAGGGGAGGAAAGGATTATCACTGATGCATTTGGGGACTCTGGGGAGGCTCCCTGGGGCAAGTGGTCTCTGAATTAGACCTTGAGTGCTTAGTGGTGATTTCCCAGGCCTGGAAGGAGACAGCCATCGGTCACGTGGGAGGTCCGTGCGCAGGCTTACGCACGTACACAACAGGTGTACTGCGAGCTGGTAGAGGAAGAGCTGTGGCCATCCATCAACTGAGGAACGGAAAAACGAGATGTGGTAAATCCATACAGTGGTCTACTCTTTGGCCATGAAAATTATTACGGTTTCTATCTAAATACCCACCCCCGCGCCCTCCTGCACTCATAGATGGGGCTTTGGGAGGTGACTGGATCATGGAGGCATGATACATGTCGAGGGACTGGGCACTGAAGGGTTTACAGCCAAATGGAATGTTGGAGGTGGGGCCTGGGGGAGTCACTGGGGGCGTGGCCTGGCAGGCTCAGCCTCCTTCCCTCCATGGGTCTCTGCTTCCCGCTGCGGTGCCGGTGCCGGTGCCGCAGTCTGCTTGGTCCTCTGCCGTGCCGCCTGCCTTGGAGCCAGCCAACTACAGACTGAAACCTCTACAAACTGTTAACAAAAATAAACCTCTCCTCCTTAGAGTCTGGTACCGTGCCTCAGCGAGGACAAAGTGAGCAGGACGAAAGGAATGAGGCACTGATACCGTCTACAACAACAATAAGCCTTGAATGTCATACTCGCAGGGTGCAGCGATGCACACCTGTAATCCTAGTACTTTGGGAGGCAGAGGCAGGAGAATTTCAAGTTCAAGTCCAGCTCGGGCAACTCAGCGGTTTAGTGAGAATTTGTTTCAAAATGTAAAAGAGAACAGGGATGGGACGTGTAGCTCGGTGAAGGCCCTGGGCTCAATCCCAAGTACCGCAAAAGAGAGAAAAGAAAAGAAAATGTTATTCTCAGTGAAACCTACCACAAATGTAGGAGTCTATTTATTCGCAAATGTCCAGAATGGGCAAATCCATAGTTTTGAATTTGAAAAAGTACATTAGTGGTTGCCAGCGCTGGGAGTGTGGAGAGAACAGCAGCTGATGAGTCTTTTGGGGGAAGAATGTTTAGGAGCCATGTTCTGGAATTAGATCGCGGTGCTGGTTGCACTACCTTGGGTATATTGTAAAAGCTATTGCATTGTGCACTTTAAAATGATGACTTTCATGATATGCAAGTCATATCTCAGATTTTTTAAAAAGTTGAGCTTCCCTGGTCATGAGTCTTGCACAGCTGGTCTCACTGTGGCCCCATCTTGCAGCAGAACAGACAAACAAGGAAAGACAGAGTGGGGGAACAGACAGAAGAGATGCCTAGAGGTTGGAAGTGGACTGAGGTCTTGAGTGGAGGCGGTACAGAGCTCCAGACGGGTAAGCACAGGCTGGAGCCGGGCCTGGTGGTGCATACCTGTGATCCCAGCACTCTGAGAGGTCAAGGCAGAAGGATATGAAGTTCAAGTCCAGATTGGGCAATTTAGCCCCTTAGCAAGACCCTATCTCAAAACAAAAATAAAAGGGCTGGGGATGTAGCTTGGTATGAAAGCCTTGGGTTCAATCCCCAATTCTTGGGGGAAGACGATCCTCTGGAAAACAGGTTAGAGGTGCCTGGTGCTTGCAGGAGAGTTGGAGATGGGTAAGAGCCTGGGAAGGGAACACCAGATGTCAGGCAGCAAAGCTTGTAGGGCTCTAGTCTTCACCCACCTATCCCTCCCTCCATCTGCCCATCCACCGGTCAGTCAGAAAGGTTAACCTTTCTGAGACTCTGCAGTGTACCAGGCTCTGCTTAGGAGAGCTCCTGCCCTTAGGAGCTTCCGGCCTCTTGAATATTTTAACTGTTCCCTGCAGCCCCTGGGTCCACCCACACTCTGTTCCATTCCTTGATCTGTTTTCTCCTTTGTTCTTTTCACAGATGTTTCTGTTTATATTGTGCCTGACTCTGCACTCCTGAGGATGGCTCTGATCTGTTTGTTTTTTTAAGACAGGGTCTCACTATGTAGCCCAGGCTGGCCTCGAACTCTTGACAATCCTCCTGTTTCAGCCTCCTGAATGCTAGGATAACAGGCGTGCACCACAACACTAGTTCACAATGGCTCTGGTCTGAGTGCTCTGCCCCCTGTATGTCCCAGTTGCCAGGACAGTCTGGGCATAATCATAGATGCTTAACACATGGGTGGTGGATGCATGAATGAATGAATGAATGAGTGAATGTGAGACCAAGGCTAGATTCAAATCATCTCTGGCTCCATGCACTAAAAAGTTTACAGCAACTTCTCCATTGTAATAGGAAAGAAATGGACTAAGTTCTAAAAGGAAACTAAGAAATGCCATCAGTGCCTCAAAGGGCTGCATGTCTGTAATCCCAGGTACTCAGGGGGCTAAGGCAGAGTAAACAAAAGTTCCAGGCCTTGGGCTGGGGATTTAGCTCAGTGGCACCGTGCCTGCCTTACAAGAGCAAGGTCCAGTTTGAGCAATTTAGTGAGACCTTATCTCAAAATTAAATAAAAAGGCTGGGGAATATAGCTCAGTGGTAGAATGCCCTTGGGTTCAATCAGCAGTACCAGAGGAGGGAAAAAAGGAAGAAAAGAAAAAATAAATAGCTGGACTGAAGAAAAAAGAAACAGCTGGATGCGGTGGTTCATGCCTGTAATTCCAGTGCTTTGGGAGGCTGAGGCAGGAAGAGCACAAATTCGAGCCCAGCCTGGGCAACTTAGTGATTTACAGAGATTTAGTCTCAAAATTAAAAGAAAATTTTTTAAAAGGACTGGGGATGGTAGCTCAGTGCAAAGGTCCTGGGTTAAATCTCTAGTACAGAAAAGGAAGGAAGGAAGGAAGGAAGGAAGGAAGGACAGAGGAAAAGAGAAAGAAAGCCCATCGAAGTTCTAATTTTCCCTGAGGACCAATGGCTGTTTTCCTTCACACACACACACACACACACACACACACACACACACACACACACACGCTCAGGGTCTCCTCTGTGTGGTCTTGTGTGCCCATGGTATCTCAGCCTGTGGAAGCCATGGGACACAGTCATCTCCTGGAGGAGCTGGGCTGTCCGGGGGGTGCGGGCTGTGGACAATGGGTGTGAGGAGAGCAGAGTGACCGGCAGGAGCGCAGAGGCAGGGGCGCCTGGGCTGAGCGGGCCCCGGGTCAGGTGAGAGCGCCCTGGGGAGCAGGTGGGAGGGTGGGGGGGCATTGGCAGTGGCCGGGGACGATGAGTAGGTGCGGCAGGCAGTTCCAGCAGGATGGCCCCTCAGAAAGGCCATAGGTGCCGGTGGTCTCTCTGGGGTTTCAGGACTGGAG